TTCCTTGCTAGAGAGGAGAAGGTTTTCGGGTTTAAGATCTCTGTGCACTATATTGCTGTCGTGACAATGCTGAACACTCTGTAACACTTGCTGTATGCAGTGGGAGGCATCTGCCTCGCTGTAGTACTCTCGGGCTACAATCTCCTCGAAGAGTTCTCCACCAGTGACCATATCAAACACTAAGTAATAGAAACCTTCTTCTAAGATGCTAGAGTGAAGACGGACGATATTCGGGTGTTTCAGGCCCCGACAAATCCGAGCCTCTCGCTCAACTTTCTGGATGTCGCGCGAGGTCATCTTTCGCGTGTCGAGAATTTTAACAGCAAATTCGACTTTCCCTTCCTTCAGAACACATTTACGAACTATACTAAAGGCTCCCCTTCCAAGTTCTTCCTTAATTTCATACATATCGTGAAAAGGCCTAGCCTGAGACGCCATTTTCCACTTCAGCTATTGATCTGGTTGTGATTTTGCGATCGATCCTATCAACACCTGTGAGAAGGGCCTGGGATGAAGCGTCCGGCTTTACGGAAATGAAATGTTCAAATTACACGACAGTTTACTTCCGTTATGTGTGAAAACAGGGTATCGAAGACGCAATTAATTTTCTTCTCCGTTATCATTGATCGCTACTTTTTTCGAATTTGTAAACATGCTGTATTACCATACATTTTTAGGCGTATTTTTCAGGAACGCAACGAAACGAACATTCCCTACTTCCTTAGGCCTCAGCCTTTTTGCTGTAAACCAATTGTATTGAATTCCAGCTCCAGGTTAAAATTGAATTATGCCATTAATAGTTGAGAAAAAAAGCTAGTGTTTTGATAAACAATAAAAACAAGCAAACTCCAAATGATTGCTTAGAATAGAAAATAAGTTTGAGGGACGATATGCTCCGTGTGTATATTGTTATAAGCAGATGTCATGTACTACTTGAATTAGCTAGTCATCTATTCTCGTCTTTTGTAACACCCTGCAACCCTTAGCTGAAAATTTTTGGATCGAGAATCTAAGTGTCCACTCTGTAAGGAGATTTCAGGTTGAATTGGCAAGATCTTTTCACCGCCTTAAGCAAAATATTTCAAGGTTAATTTTCTCGCTTTACTCATTAGTATACGCATTCAAATGCAAAATAATTAGCGAAACTGCAGAAAAAGTCAATTTTATTTATTTTAATCAATGATAAAAAAATCTATAGAAAATTAAAAACGTGGGCTTAAATTCAAGAAACTAACAACATTTTTTTTGCGATGAAGAATTCCTTGACAATCGTTGCAGTAGAAATTATTCAGATTAGATTGGAAAACACTTTTAAATTCCTCAAATAATTTTAAGTTTCGTAGATTTCATCGATGTCTCCTAAACTTATATGGTGTCCCACCTGCGACTGAATTGAAAAACAAATAGTTGACACGTTGATCGTGTCAATACCATATTGCAGCTGCTTCATTCTGGAAGAGTTTCAGTTCTGTCAGCTCCGGTCCTCTTGAATGAAAACAATAGATCCCTTAAAGTGGGCATTCGAGAATTTTCACTTTGAGTCAAGAGCCTGTCTAATGGACCCGTGATCATTAGCCATGCAGATCAAAGGAACGCCGCCTACGTTTGTTTTTCTGAACGAATTGGCCAATATAAGCTTTATAAAGGACGATGGAAAATAGCGATTTCTATTTTCGGACGCGCTGTGAAAGTTTGTCTAATTACTCCTTAAAAATGTAGAGAACGTGCTCTTCCAATCGATCCAAGAACGATATTAAACTGTTTTGGTCGTGTTGTGCACATTTGGACAATACAGACTATGTAAGGGTTGATGTAAAGGAGCAATTTCCATATTCAGACGCACTGTTAAAAGTTACGTTATCTTTCCAGAAAAATGTGGACAGTGCGCTGTTCCAAGAACGATATCAAACTGTTTCAGTCGTCGTGGGTAAATCTGGACAATACAGGCTATGCGAAGATTGATAGAAAGGAGCGATTTTTATGCTCAAAATGTAGACAGCGCGCTGTTCCAAGAGCGATATTAAGCTGTTTCGGTTATGTTAGGCTTTGTAAAGGTTGATAGAAAGGAGCGATTTCTATTTTCAGACTCGCTGTTAAGAGTTACTTTATTTTTTTCAGAAAAATGTGGACCATGCGTTGCTCCAAGAGCGATATCAAACTGTTTCGGTCGTGTTTTCTATTTTTTTTGTCTCTTGTAAACAAATATTGTCTCACACACTCTTTTTGGTGGTTTCTCGGCTCGAAAAAAAAAAAAAAGCATACGTGAGTGTGCTGACTACATACTCTGGGAGATGTCTCCTTTTCTTCCACAACAAGTACATCTCCCACCGACGTGCAATTGTGTAGGGGACTGCAAACTGATCAACTGAATCTTATTAACATCCAAGTAAAGATAACCTTTCTCGGCTTGTGTTACAACATTCACCATTGATACTGATTCTCAAAATGTTTTCTCGACGCCAACTAGAAATCCTGAATCCTCAGGAGCATTGCTGGAAAACTTTCAACCTGACCTCTTTCACTTGCACACCGATATCCTCTTTACTGATTGTATGAAAATGTCTTATTATTCAGTTCTGAAAATTGACGTTGAATCAAGCAATATTCCTTGAGTAAAGAACATTTTTTTATCGCCCTTTTCTCCTCATTACCTTTCAGTTTTAAAATGTGCTTGGTGTAAATCAAAATTGCTTTTTGGCCACAGTTAAGTGTGAAACTTAGCAAACTTCAGAATGTTGGGAAGAATCGTGGGAAGGTCTCGCCTGGGAGGGCATTTTCACCTTCGCTCATGTTCTCTTGGCTTTCATAAATACAATGAAAATGGATAATTTTAATGTGCCGGTTTATCATATTTTATTATAAGAAAGCTCTTTTAAGAACAGGGCCTCACACCAGGTTTGATTTTTTTTGGCGTTTTTCTCATCTGTATTAGTAATCATTGTGAAAAAGTAGACGGTTATGCAATAACGCATTCAAACGGAAAATAAACAGCGAAACTGCAACAAAAGAGACACATTTCTTAATCAATTAGGAAGCTTAAATTAAACATTGCAACTCAAACCAAAGAACTTAACAATATTTCTTTTAATACGGTTCTGAATTCATCGTTCAAAACTTAACAATCGTTGTCACTTAAGATTGGAAAGCACTCTTCAGATACTAAACTTTCGTTGCCATTGATCTAAAACCCAAATGAGCAAGGTGCAGTACTTTCTTGTGATTGTGATAGTTTGTAAAAATCACCAAGTTGCCATCAAATTTAGGTTGGGTTATTTGTTGTTTCTTGTTCTTTTATTTTCCTTTTTTTCATCCATTCAGTTACCAAAACGTGTTTGTTGAAACGACACAAAAACTTTGCAAAAACTTACATTGCAAATACTAACACTCTATAGCATACAGAGAGGAGAAAAAAAATTGAAAAAACACTCTGAGGCAATAGACAAAAAAGATTTTCACTCAAAGCTATTTTCCCGGTGCGCTTTAGCTTGTACTTCTCCAGTAATCTAACAGGGTCAGTTGCAATACGTACTGACGCAGTTGTAAGGACCAAACCCAAACAGTGAAAATGCATAGGGGTGACACTTTGCTCTTTCCGCTTATGTGAATCTAACAAGAAAAAAGCATTATTATGAGGTCATGAGTGCAAGATGCGATGGCCTCATATGGTATGAGAGCGGGTTCAAGATCGTAATCCTTCATGTGTTATCTGCCTCAGCCTTCAGCTTTAGCAAACAACTCAGACCGCGGTTTTATTAATCTATATATACCATATTACGAGCATTCCCTCTCTACAAGGCTTATATTCTCGGATTCGGTCAGGTTCATAAAGGTTCTTCTAGGGCAGACCACAACACCGGGAACTACGTTCCCTACTCTTTGCAATAAGTGTGTGGGTTCTTTAACGTCCCCTACTAACTAGTGCCGAGAAGATGCAGGAGACGGGGCCTACGGCTTTACGTCCTTATCCGAGAAGACTAGAATGTCCAACCACTTGCAGATATCATAGCAAAGGCAGCGCATTATCCTCGGTTATTTTAAGACCCTGAGTGTGAGTCCGGTCTGGGTCTTGAACCTCGACCTCCTGTACAATAGTCCAGCGCTCATCCACGTAGCTAACCAGGCGGCGGTTAATTCATGATATCATGCTCAACCTCATTCGATAATTGCTTATGGCTTCACCGTACAGAAACCGCAGTAACCTACGGTTTGGTATTTTTATCTTCTCCCGCCAACAAGTTATCTCGCCCACAGGTCAGTTTCACCCACAAGTCATCTCGCCCACAGGTCAGTCATCACGTGAAAGGCCTTTCAGGGTTAAACGTTTCATGTTCCTGCCATAGTACCAGATCATGGTGGATTGCATATCATTGAATCATAAAAGGAAATCCTTTAGGAATATACAATCCTTTTGTAGTGCAAGCCTGGTTGCGATCTCCTTGAAGTCTGGGACAATGTGAAGTAAAATGACAAATTAGTTTTGCTCAGAGTCTTCAAAGCCTTCTAACGAATATATAGTGACAGGATTAGGCTAAATGGCAATTCTTTGGGAAATCTATCTGAAATGAAAAAAAAAAGGAAAAAAAGGAGAAGAATTTTAATTTACACAGACATATATAGGCCCCACATACAATATACCCCAAGATGCATCCATCTATCCATGGTTGTACAGCAAATGCAAACTTGTCGTCGTAGGAGGTTGCGGTATTTTGCATTCCATAACAACTTTTTGATTTCGCGTTTGTTAGACATTAGTTTTTGTATTTGGAATTTTTCTTAGCCAAATTTGTGGGATAGCTGGCGCCAAATATCAAGTGGCCTTTTCTTAGTAAAATGATAAATAAAACCTTTTTTTGGATATGTTTTATTGTCACCCATTTGAAGAGGTAGGGATGATGCTGGTAGGGTTTAATTAATTATATAATTTAGCATACACTTTATTTACCGAAGTATTGAAATATATTTATTCATGATTTTTTTTTTCACGACGCATTGTCATCCAAGTCATTCCTTCACATGACCTGACCCCAAATTCTGATACGAATGACTGATTACGCACAAAACATTTTCAAATCAAAGAATTTCAGAACACGAAGGCTCAAGCACCAAAAACGCATATTCCTGAAGAATCAAGTCATCGTTTCCCGCTATGGCCGATGCAGCAGCCGCTATTGCAATTTGCAGTGTGATTTTTGCACTATTTTTTGTCTTCTGGATTGGAAGTATGTGCTACTTCAGGACCCCGTGCAAAGATCTGAAGAAGGAAACCACTTATATTGAAGAAGGAAACCTCAGTTAGGCGGGCAAGAACGATTCTGATATTCACTAGCTTAGCAAGGTACGTCTTCAAAATTTTTCACTGCGTGCTACGGCACCGAATGTGTGATACTTATGTTAGTATTGAGGATGTCCGTACTGTGAGTTATTATCACGCAACTTAACTGGAGAATTCGTACAATAATTCATGACAACATTTCGGTTTGAGATCTTCACAGTCGACTGATCCAGAAAACAAGCTCCGATCCTTTACATTCTAACTACAGGATTTATTGACGCGTACTCGAAATATACGATTGGTCTTTAGAATTTTCGGGAAAATGGCTATCAGCTTTAATAAATTTTGTCTATTTTTGACCACAAACGATCCATGTGCGTAAATGAATATGCTAAACTTGTCCATTGGCTCACGCGGTGTACACGTTTTAACAATAAAAAGGCTACACGAGAAACTGAAAGAAAAAAAGGACCAAGTAATGAACCTTTCCCAGTATCCAAGAGTAGCTGGTCAGAAGTCTCACATGAGTAATAATACAATCTGACTTGAAATTGCAAGTAAATTGGTTCAGAGGGCGGTGGGGATTCGATATAGTCACGGAATATTTGATTGTCTGCCCGTTTGCAGGATTGTATTCCTAAGGCAAACCGTTTCAAATGCCGAAGTCGTGACAATCTGATATCCGATCTCCAAGCGACCGTAATCAGCTCAGTGCAACATTACATTTTTGGGGAGCATGACATAACGTGTGATTATTTGAATGTATGAGCTAAATTGGAAGCGCTTCAAATACAAAGATGAATCTTTAGACTTGGACTACACAATAAGAAAGCAATCTCTGTTTGTTTGCGCTCGACTTAAGGAACGTGTTTACATATCAATACAATTACAATGCAAATTAGGGGTTATGTACTTCAAGAATAACGAATGTGGACAAAAGTAAAGTGAAATCTTGCATTTTAATGAGGTGTAAAGTCATATCACATGCACAAATTAGCGAGCGTTCATGGTGTTCTAAATCCAGTCGCCATCTGTCAACAAAACAACCAGCCTTCACATGGCATTGGATAAAAAAACAGCTCTAGTGGTTTCAGCAGTTCTATTTGGTGTTTTCTTCTCATTCTGGATTTTATCGCTGATATTTTGTAAATGCCGTGAACCTAACGATGAATCTACGTCGAGGCACTCTAATCGCCGTTTCACACCGGAGGAGGAACGAATGATACGGCAAAACTCCGAAAGAAGAGCACAGAATTACAGGGATGCCTCTTTCACTGTGTGATCTTCTCGACAGTCGTTAAAAAAGAGAAATGAGATAGTAAGTAAAAATCAGATAACTTTCGTAGTCAGACGAACACACCAGCGCTTCAGAAAATAATCATGATCGAATCAGTGATTAGCGGACAGTTAACGAAACGCCTGGAGCCTAAGCAAATCTTTTCCACAAAAATCAACTGTTTAACAGATGGCTAAGAATAGATTAGTAAGTCTGTGCACCTCATGATCACTGCGTTATCCACCCTGTTTGATATCTCTCATAACTAACAAGCTGGCTACGAACTCAGTGACCATCGCCGATTTTATTGTCATCCCTACTTGTTTTTTTTCTCGGCGTGAGGTCGAAAAATGGTCGACCCTTCGCACACGGTTTTTTTTTTGTTTGCTGAAGGTTTAAGCGACCTTTTTTCTTTTGCAAAGCTCATGATTATTGACGAACTTGAGCTGCAGGGAAGCATGGGACTAAAAACAACGCCATCTCGTTTTGAAACAAAAGTACCTTGAGTTCCAAGTTTGGTGTATGTTATATTCGACGTTGACACAATTTTTTTTCTCGGTTGTTCGACTCTGTCAACGAGAACTTACTGATTGGTGACACAAGAATGAAAGAAACAATTGGTATTCGCCATGTATGGATTTGTTTATGTCGCCTTTATATTCCAAGGATCTTATTCGCTAATCAATATCGCCATATAACACGGACGAACCTAACATCACGAGAGAGAACGACATGTATAAGAGCTGACCAAGCTTATGCGGTGAGTCGCACGAGCTTGAGCTCTTCCCAAGGGCGTTAACTGTTTTTGAGGTTTTAAAACCTCAAAAACAGATTTAAGATGTTCCGCTGAGCTCTTTTTTTCTTTGACTCTTTTTTTTTTAATTAGTAGAGCAGCGAATAGGCTCGGCTTGCGCAGGTTTTTGTCGTCCGGTCTACGATCTTCTTGAGACAGAGAAGGAACGCGAGGAGGGCGGGCTCATTTCGAGAGCAGCGGTTGATTATGGAACCAAGCAAAAGAATAAAAAAGAGAAAGAAAAAAAGAAGAGAGAGTTATTTACTTCACATTTTTGTAATTACATTTGAGTAAAAAGCCGAATCACCCATAAAATGTCTTGAACAATTATTGAATAACAGCATAGTATAATAATTACGAAAGTTTCCTGCATTTTTTGATATCAATTAAAATATGTTTTCTTTATTCTCAGTTTTATAGATGTTTAAACTACCCGTGGAAGCGATGGAACGGTGATATCATAAAGACACAAGGACATTTTTTTGGCCCATTTCTACGGACGTTGTGTACGTTACCTGCATCCCAATACATTCTTCTTCATTTTTACTTTAGTACTTGAACTTTTGTATTCACTTCAAGAGAATATAAACAGCAGTCTACAATCTTTTGATTCCTTTTCACTCCTGTTTTTACCCTTTATAATTTGTATCCTGTAAGTTTCTTCCATAAATAAATAAATAAACTGTACAGTGGTTGTCAATGTTGTGCCGCTGAGCTGAAAGCGTTTGGAAGTACTGTTTGCACATCACTCTGTTAAACTGGCTTAAGACCATTATTCAGGTTTTCTTCTAAACTGAACTGCCGTTACTGTTCAAAATCTGCACCACTTTCATCACTTGATCTCGGTGTACTGCAGCCTGGAGCGTCGTTCAAAATGGGCGAAGACTTTTAACCGCTTCAAACCTTGAGACATTGACAAGCTATATATTGTGTTGTGAATTATGCAAGGAATCACCTGAATCTCTTTTCAGAATTTTAGAAAAGTTATCGTATCTGTAAGTTCCTTCGCCCGCTGTGATTTGTTTTTTGACTGCACATGTACTTGTTCTCTGAAATGGTGAGGACCCAAACATTTCAATTTCTAAGAGTACTGCCCCTAACTTGAAAAAACTGACAAATTAGTCTTTTCAGTTCAGAAGCCCAGTAACTCGGCGAAAACTCAATAGCTAATGTTATTGAGACAATTTTTGCGTACTTTGAAGCGTTGATTAGACAGCTACTAGACATTTAAGACGGCTCTGCTACCTTAACGTTCAACGAGCGATGATCCTGAAACCCACCAGCTACGCAAGTTATCAGACCGCATGTCGACAGCCTGAAAAGACCTTTTTGAACCCCCTCGTCGTGAACGAGGCATAGCGGCATTGTGTAACTGGCACCTTTTGTTTGTACGCGTACATTTGTCTTCAAACTTGGAAAATCATAAGACTTAAGTGTGTTGTGATTTTGATTACCACAACGATCATAATTCCTTACTCCTTGTTACAATGTTTTCGTCTTCCTTCTGCACAGAGCTAACGTTTTCCCAAAGAGGACTTGGGTCATACAATTTTCGACAAAAAACTTGGTTGGCAAAGCTCCTCATTTCATTATACGAGAGAATTTACCTGGCGCTGTTTCCTAGTGATAACTCTTTTTTCCTCCGATATACTTCCAGTGAAAAATATCGTTCCAATCTATTTCCAGATGTAAAACCAGGGTTCTCCGTACAAACGAAAAGCGCTGTTTGTCTTGCACGCAGCTGTTTCTTGGGATGTTACTTGACGTTTCTACTGAGTGACATCCGTAAAATAGGTGTGTGCATGTATACTGCCTACAAAAATTGCAGAATGCTCAGAAGGAATGATTAGATGTTAGACGTATGGAGAACGTGTTTGACGTAAATTACACACTTGAAAGGTTGAAAAGGCGAAAACATTCTTCTTCCTCTGGCTCGTGATTTACAAACGTTTGAAGTGTTCTCCCAACATCCCGCTTGGGTTATTACGCCGTTAAACCTATAGAAAGTGCAGTCTATTAGTTAAGCAATAACCAGAAATTATTGGCAAAATTGCTCATGAAGGACTCAGATCTAATGTTTATTGCAAACCTGACAGAACTTGACTTCCGTCCCTAAATAGATTTTGGTTGACAATTCCCTCTCTCTTAACAGTCTTTCTGTGCATGTACCGAAAATGAGTGAAAAAGCGACCCGTAGACGGTATGGCTTGTAGCGAAACTGACATTGTAGGCAAATTGATTTCTGCGCGAGCTGACCCGTCGGAAAGATAATTTGTGGGCGAAACTGACCCGTAAGTGGAATGACTTGTGGGCGAACCAACCCGCCGGCGGGATGACTTGTAGGTGAAACTGACCAGTAGATGAGATGAGCTGTGGGCGAAGAAACCGGTGGGCGAGAGGACTAGTGGGCGAATTGACCCATAAGCGAAACGACTTGTAGGCGAAACTGACGTGAAGGAGAGTTGACTTTTGGGTGAGCCAACCCGTATGAGAGATGACGTGTGACTCGTGGATGAGATGACTTGTAGGCGAACCAACCTGTTGGCGAGAAGACTTTTGAACGAGACAAACCTGTAGACAAAATGATTTGTGGGCGAACCGACTCGTGGGCGAGATGATTTGTAGCAGGAGCCTATTATATGGAGCTTCCATCTTCCATACTTACCCTCTGAGTCAACCCTGTCCCGTATCTTTCTATTTTAGAAGCACCTCCCACGGGGTTTTTCGGGGGTGTTTACATAGTAGCCAATCATAAGAGAGCTGTGGTCCTCTATTGTTTACATCACATGCAGGCCGTACGAAAGTATTTCAATGATGGCGAAAAGCGCGGAAAGTTTACCAATTTTTTTTAGGGTGTTATGCGAACGTCAGCGTGTTTTCGCAGGAAATTAAAAAACCTACCCATGTATCTCAGTTATAAAAATAAAAAGATACAGGAAAGGGTTGACTCAAGGGTACAATTGGTATAGAGGCTCCGGGTAATAAGCTCCTGTTTGTAGGCAAAACTGGCCGGTAGGCGAGATGACTTGTGGGCGAACCAACCTGTGAACGACTTGTGGGTGAAATAAACCTGAAGGCGACTTGTGGGTGAAATAAACCTGAAGGTGACTTGACTCTTGGGCTTACTTACCCGTAAGCGAGACGACTTGTTGCAGAAAATGACCTGTTGGCGAAATAACAAGTGGGTGAGGGTGCCCAATCAAACTGGAACTTACTTCGGTTTCTGTGCCATGGGAGGGGGTTGCACTCTAATTCTTTGCACCTGCTCCGCTGGAAAATGTAACTTATGCTTCAGCCTTTTGCTATTAGGCTCGAGAATTACATTTGTCACCTTGAACTGGTATGGTTTTGCTAAACTTGAAATCTTTTTTGTAATGTGGAGTTTGATAGTACCGAATCAAGTACTTTTATCAAAATTCGCGTTGTCAAGGAATTAGTCGACTGAAGGAATTCCAGATTGTTAAAATAGTACGTAGACAATATTCATATTCTTCGTGCCGTACGCTTTTTCATTGTCGCGGTTAATTATACATCTGATCGACATACTAATGGCCTCTAACTGTTTTTAATTAGTGATGCTCATTGTTCTTAAGAGAGGACTGAAGTTATTTCCTTAGATTATTACCAAACGGATTAAGGTCTTACCGATTTTGTTCCCTAAAAGAACAATTTTTAGTATTCTATTTATAAGTGCTGTAATTTGAAAACCCAAATACTCTTTTTCAAACATGTTATATGAGAAGAGAATATAACCGAAATTCTCTTATAGATGATAATGCCAAACAAGGCGAATGACTTTTTTTTTTCTCTACCCTATTATTTCCACGTGTTTTATAGCTTTCTTTGTCTCGCCGCAATTGGTTTCTTACTCTGATAATCTTGTTGTTGCTTCGGATCAAGGTTAGATCGCCATGATAATTACTCTGATCTTTTTCTGGTCATCTCTACATCCCACCAGTTCTTTCCGTGTATTTGTTTTTTCCTGGTCGTGTTTTCAAAATTCGGAGTTTCAAAGTAAAAACATGAGTAAAATAACATGAATAAGTAAACAAGCACTTTAACTTGTGTCCTGATTTGGTCACGTCCGATATGAACCGCCACACATCACCAGTCTTCAGGTGATGAGGGCCACCTCATAGAGAATTCTGCCACGGTCTGATTGTTTGTTTCTTATTGCTGTGATGGATACCTTACGAAGACGCAATCCCTCGGCGGTAAATGGCCTTAAAGTCCCGTTTTGTTTTGTTTTTGGTCGTGGGAATCGATGCTTCTTGAGTCTCTACTCCAGTGTTGTTGAAGTGAGGTCTCATATATGTTAGTGGCCTACTTTACTTGATTTGCAATTTGAAAACCCAAGCCGTACTAATCGTTTCACACATCTTTCACTTTTCTTTCTACTTCGCATAGTTTAATTAACGTAAAATTGATATCCTTTTCTTTAGTTTTTTTCTCTTTTCAGGTTGGTATTTCTAAAAGGAGAGCTGCAAGATTTAGTTGATATAGGAGACCGGGCCCCAGATATCGATTTCAAAGAGATATCACTAGCTGGACGTGCAGTCCATCGTGATGAACAATGGCGCCTGTTCGTCCCAAGAGTTTGAAATGGGTGTCTAAGAAGTTTGCATCCTCTAATTGAATGTAACAACAAGATTCAATTGTTGAATTAACGACTTTACACTTACATGCGCTAAAGGATGGTCTGAGTGCCTTCTACCCGAATTCAATATTTGTGTTTATTGTAATGCGACAGAAACAATTCATCATTTTTTTTTAATCTCAACACTTGTCACCTATTGTGATTGCTTTTGTCTCTTTCTTGAAGAAAAATTGCACCCAGGAAAGATCAATACTGGGCTTTCTTTTTTCATAAGGATGTGATTAACGCAGAATCTAGTAAATTCTTGTTTGATTGAGAAACGGAAGGAAAAAAATCATAACAAGATTACAAATATCAGTGGCAGGTGCGACAAGAATGTATTCCGGTGGAGCTGCATTCCGTCGAAAAAAAAAATTAAATGAAGAAAATTGGCAAAAATCTAGACGTGCAATTTTCGCATATTTACCCACAATCGCTTTTTCATAGGTTGACTGATTTGTCATGCATATTCATTTCCTCTTCAATTCAAGCGTCAAAATGTTGCGGTGGCAATATCGTTCTCTGTGACTTGATATTGAAGATTTTCTTTTCAATAACACACGTCACACGAGAGCAGAATTGACCTCTTATCTGTTTCTACCAAATATTATATTACAGGCGACTGAACATATCAATCGCTGGTTTAACAGTAGGCAACGCTGAAGGGAGACGCTTGTTTGCACGAATCAAAAACAGCGTGGAACTAAACCTGGTTTGTAAACACGCAACAGAGACACAGCTTGTAAAAACAAGGTTTATTCAGAGGAACCTCTTTATTATCTTTTGTAAGGAATGGATTGAGGTAAGTAAGTTAAGAAAACATTGGCACCAAACAATTATCAATCAACGGACACTCGACCGACCTAGCTACAGGAAATAATTTCAAAGACAGTTTTCTCGTACATATCATCCACAAAAAATACTTATGGTGAATCTTTTCGGAGGAGAAACCCTCTATAGTGGTTGTGTGCTCGGATCGACTCAACCAAAACACCCTGGCATTCTTTTCAGGCGTTAAGTGGGGTTTTCGAGTCAATGCTATCGATGTCTGAAAGCAACATCTAAGATATATTTTCACTCTTTTTGACTTTGTGGTTTTAACCATTCGGGAATGCCTTTCCAACGTGAAAGATTTCACTGATTTAATCGCTTTAGCAGTCATCAGAACCTATTTATGGATACGTCACGACGAACTGTTTTTGAAAGATAATGATACAATATACTGAACGTTGTAATAAAACCATTCAAGGTTTGGTCAGAACCGCAGAGTCTTGTAATGATATAAATGTATACAAAAGTTTTCCCGCAATTAATATTCCTGTTTAGGTATAGTTTACATTGTGAAAGGGGTTATCTTTGACAAAGAAGCTGAAATGAAATGCGTGATTTAGATGTCGTTTAGCAAACTTTGTCTCATAGTACGTGATAACGAATATCCCTTACTCAAAGCGTCAGGCGTGAGGAAGCTAGCGAGACATGTCCATATTGTTATTTTTTGTTTTCATTTAATATTCTTGTTTTAAAAAATGAAAGATATTCGTATTCAGCCGTAAATGAAAGCTTCTTGCCACACGGAGAGCTGAATATCAACCGTTTTGGCCTTTGAAAGAGAAAGAACTATTTTTATCTGAAACGCTGGACGGCGGAACAAAGAATATTCGATAGGAGATTAACGGGAAGAGGGGGAGGGTTAGGAAACGATCTCCTCACGGTTTCTCGGAATTTATATATATCTGTATACATCTTTAAGTATCTCCAGTAAATGTTCCAGTGTAGCAACTGGAAAATGCTATGTTTTGCTTTAAATTTGTGGAACTAAAGCCCCTCCCCCATCCCCGTCCGGCTGCGCCATAGCTGCCAAATCAAACGCTATTGTTTTCAGAGATAACCCCATCTAGCGAAATAATCTCAGAGGATTTGGGGTACATGATATAAACATCAACGCTGTCAAAACAGTCAACGAAGCAAAAAAAAAAAAGATTACCGTAACTGAGACGTATCTTTAATCAATTCTCAACCAGTACCCATGAAAACTCATTTACAATTGGTGAACTTTATTCCTCTCTTTGTTGTTGGAGATACCCAATATGCATGTTTTTGTGTCATATATGTAGCCATCGCGTGATAGTCATTAGTTAATGAGATTCTAATTTATTTTTGTCTCAGATCAGTAAATCTGTGATTGTCTCACCGATAGGAATAAAAGCTACAGTGAAAGACGCCTCACGGAAAATAGAAAGGAAATTCGAACGGAAACTTGAACTGTAAAATGTCGGAATTTTTCAGCTGTAATGACAGCACAGGACGTTACGTCTTCAATATCGTGTTTTTCTCGCTCATTGGCGCAGCGATCATCGTACTTCTCGTACTGGGTGCTTACTTGCTCTTTAAACGACACAAGAAAGCTCAAAAGAGAAGATTGCTTTCAAGAAGTCGTGTAAACACCATGAACACAAATAGCACAATTTTATCAGGGGCCAGTGGAGGCGGCGGAAGCAGTCAACTTACGAGTAATTTTATCCTGGGCCGGCCACCTGCCACTGATGTAATTCTGGGTGTTTACGGTGACGAAATCTCCAAAAATGCTAGGGCTGCATTTTATGAAGAGAAAGGCTGGCGAGGATTTGCTTACTGAAGATTCATCGAGTGTGTCTAAGGCGCACGTTCATGACAAGAGTCCAGGTTAATTTTAATCGAGAGATTTTCCCGTTTTGGTTGGCACCTGAGTTGCGTTTTAAACAGCTAGTGAATTAGCATTTATGGGCCGATTAACACACTTTGAAAGTGAAACAATACGACTTAAAATCGCTCTAATGACTTAATGGTCGTTAACATTCTTTCTTCGCCAGAACGGCTCAAAGAAGTTTTGAGAGATTCTTGAAAGTTGTAAAGCGGTCTCAGCGACACCTTACCCGTAATTGTCCATGGATATGAACATATTTTAGGAAAGAAAAGCGCCTTTTGTACTAAGGCGCTTATATCTCATTTTCACGTGACATAATAAAAGCCGGTTTTTGTCTCCGATCGACGCCCCGGTCAAAATGTCACGAGAAGAACACATGCCTTTTCGCTGAAGGAAGTAAAATAGTTCTTATAAGGAAATGAAATCTCGTTGTATGAGATACTTCCTATTGTAGAGAAATTTTAACCTTCTCTGAATTGTATCCAACCAATTAAGAAGGATTTCACTTGAGTTTAGCTATTAAGAGTTAGCTGAGAGTGGAATTAGTACACTTTAAAACTGGTCTAATTATTTTGAAAAGTCTGATAGCCTCAGCATGTTAAATATATTAATTGCTCCGGTCTGATCACTACTTCACGGCATTCCATGCCTTTTTTAGAATTCCCTTCAAATAAAAAAAACCCCTTAAATTAATGAGGGTGAACAAACTCTAAAGTACAAGGGTGGTTGGGGCGGACGAAGGAAATGACAAAATTTAATAAAAATATAAATATTCCATGTATCTTTTTTATACATTGTGAATCGATGTTCATAAAACAAGTTAACTGCGACACTTGAAATACCGCTAAGAGTTACCATTCACCCTTTGGTGCCCCAACGTCCGTATGCATATTTTCCATACTGTTCTCTTCCTTGGTTGGCGATCCCTTCCGCTATTCTCCTGACCTCAATGTCTGATTCAGCAGTGATCGCGTACGAAGAAATAAAATGCTTGTTACTCTTAAGATTTAACGGGGTAACATATAATACGACGCAGATGGCAATTCGGCAAACCTACTGTTATTGAAAAAACGTGTTTATCAAACTATCAGGATTAAGTTACGTGTAAATCAGTGGGAAAAGATGACAAACTTTATCAAATGACCTGCACGGTCCTGCGCGTGATCTTATTGAAAAACAAGAGACAAAATCTCTGTAAAAGGGCCATATACGGTGGTGTGAACAGGACTGGAAAAAACCGTACAGCTCCGCAAGATTTCGGCGAAATGAGGAAAGGATAGGAAGCATATAAGAAAGGGAAGGTCATATGTGAAAATGGTTATTGAATGAGTTAGGTCGTGGAGGGGGACAGGGGGGCGGGAGCCCGGGAGAACAGGGGGCGGGAGAGGGCGGGAAGCGGGAGAACAGGGGGCGGGAAGCGGGAGAACAGGGGGCGGGAAGCGGGAGAACAGGGGGCGGGAAGCGGGATCTATATGAGGGCGGGAAGCGGGAGCAGAAGTAAAGAAGGTTATACAAAGTTTGTTGTTTATTACTGGGTATTATTCAGTCAAAAACACTTACCTTTTGAAATTTCCATTTAACATCCACCAATGTTTAAAAGAAAATTTTGGAAGCAAGAAAACGTAAATCTTTACTTGGGCTGGGAAAACAGCATTACTTCCGGTGAATTTGGAAATCCCTTCAATTCGATTACGTCATACAACAAATATACAGAAAACTTGACATACTACGAAGTCATATAGGCTTGTCAGCCCCAATTTACACTCGATTATTAAACGGGCGCTTTAGACTCTCCGAAGAAGCATTCTTCAAGATGCTTTCAGACTACCGAGGCGAATGTGATTTGAAAACAAATGAAATCAGTGAAGAAAATCAATTTAAGAAGTTGTCTTGACTCGGCGGAAGAAGAAACTCTAACCAAAATTTGGGGTTTGAAGAGTTCAGTGTGGTCTTCCCGGCGCAGGAGGTTAGAAAACTTCTTTTAGCCTTGAAACTTTCCACAGAGGTTTCAAGAAGATTTCAACCTATCGAAAAAATCTGATAATCAGCCGAACAAGAATGTTCAATCAAGCTTCACTTGCACTTAAGCTGAACGCTAAAATGGGAAGGGTTCGACAATTGATATGCAGCGATTTAAATCATCCTTTGGAGTCAGCTTTTTTATTCGCTCACGAATAGCTACGACTAGTTACTTGCGTCAAAAAGGGAAAGCAAGCACGGATACAAGAGAAGCAAACTCTAAACGTTACATACTTTATTTATTTAATTATTTATTGTTATCATTTATTTATTTATTTATTTAATTCTCCCCAAGGGGCTTTCAACGTTACTTCTGGCTCTTGATTATTTTATTTGATTTTGAAATGGCATTCCTAAATGCATGGAAAAACCTACATTAAATTGCAATAGCTATTACATCACACAGTGGACCGAGACTTTCGTCTCTATAACGAGATGTCTGAAGCAATGGTCAAACTGTGATAACCAGGTCAGTGAAACTTAGCGTAATTAAGAAAACTGACCTGTAGCCTGAAGACGGGAGCAACACCGTGAAGAGTGGGAGTCGGGAGGCAAAGGGGCACAAAGGTACGGGAGGCAGGAGAACGTTGTACAGGAAGCGGGAGACTCTGACCTCCCTGTCCCCCTCCGAATAGGTCGGGCTGAACAGGAAAACGTTTGGGCTCCGAGTTCGCACATCATGATTTCGAGCCAAGTAATTTCCCGTTCGGCCGAGCTACTCAATCTAGAAGATTTGTCTCGTGGCTAGCCGTAGCAAAGGATGATGATATATATTTTTTCATTCTCCGACGGTGTAAGGTTTACCTATTGCGTGGTCACAGTTGACTGTTATCATTCAACTTCCAAGACACCTTCAGTTTTTCATTTGACTGAACAGCGGTCTACCTTTAGGCTGAGGAGGAATGGAAACGAAGTATGAACGCCTAGCTAATATCTGCTTTAGTAAGAAGAAACAATGAACATTATGCTTTTTGAGCTCGTCGTTTAAGCTAAGTCTATCAATTTTTCATATAGTATAATGAAAGACTATCACCAAAAATCAGTTTTAGTTAGTTTGATGTTTGCCCATGGGTACCGGCGCATCTAGCCACACAGTCAGTAAAGGCGAGCCTCAAATGTCGCAAACTCCTAATAAAACTTCCAACATAAGTGAAGCAAAGAACATCTTGGCTTCAGGCACACAGTCTGAGGAAAAGGCAAATTACGTGGAAATGAATGCACCATCAAATTTAACTGAGGCAGACAGGAATTCAGATGAATTAAAAAGACATCTTTCAGAAGGAAGTCTTGCGCGCAAAGAAGTTGTGACTTGTTGTGTGGAACTTCTGAAGTTTTCCTTCACTATAGACGAGACTGAAGAAATTCAAGCAACGTCTGAAGAGTTTGTGCTGAAGAAAGACATCCCTCACGTCGTATTCGAAATTTACACCAGTCTGTTAACGAATTATCCAACTTTGGTGAGCTTTGACAGAGAGAAAGATGAAGTAAGTGAATTTATGAAAATGTATAAAATAAACTTTTAACTTATAATTTCTTGTTTTTTGATAAGTTCTTTTCATACATGATTTTTTTTACCTTAAGATATTAATTTTTTTGTGTTGTTTTCTTAGGAAACTGAATATGATACAAAAGTTCCAGAGGAACTAAGACTTGCTCAAGATGTTCTTAATTTATTGGCTGGTTTCACTGTGAATTTAACTTCTTGCCCTAAGCTGGCAATAGAATTTGGTAAAACAGGGCTTATTCCAGTCTTTCTGGGGATGACAGAAGCTTTAAAGGATTGTATACCAGACATTATTCCATTTGAGGTAGAAAAACAAAATCAGAGCTGGTACTTAAAAATAAGTTCGAACAGTTTGCATAATTGAAAGAAGAGCTTGCTTTGCTGATGTTGATTGAAGGATATCTTAAAATGACAATAGTTAGTTAACCCTTTAACTCCCTGAAGTGATTAACATGAAACTTCTCCCCATAATATCCATATATTATCCAGCAAACGGGTACTGAGAGTACTCAAACTTATTAGGTAGAAGTTGTTGTCCTGATCTATCACTATATTCTCATAACTAATTTACAAGGAAGTGTGTAGCAGCTAGAGGGGAGAATCAACAGTCAGATCTTTGGAGTTAAAAGGTTAAATATCCCTTATAACCAGCCTATAAGAAGGGATTACAATTCTGTAGTAGAATATTTTTGACCATCAACTAAGGAAAAATGTTTATATGGATAGAAGTCAAGACTGAAAATTTTATGAAAAAAGCAACTATTAATAGCTGTATATCTGCAATAGTATAATTGTTATACACTTCTGTTGTATGGTTAACAAACATTAACCTGTCAACTCTAGGGATCTAGAGAAAAATATATTTCATCTTGTCACAAGCATGGGACAAATAACAAATTCTGAGTCCCCATGAGGAATCCAACCTCAGACCTTCGGATCCTGTGTTCTGATGCTCTACCACTGAGCCACAGAGACTCTATGGTGAGTGGGGTCAATTCTGAAGTTCATATGACACATGTCCTACATACTGTTGGGATCAGTAATTTTGATAGTGTCATGTTTGTGAATACTGAGAATTAGAGAGATGGTAAGTTTTGAGCTCAGTAAAGAAATAGAGAAAGATGTTTTTTCCGAGATCTGATCGTTAATTTTCCTTTCAAGCTGCTACACATTTCCTTGTTAAAATAGTTACAAGAATTTGGTATTAGATCAAGATAATAACTTATGCATGATACAACAGTGAGTTTGAGTATTCTTATCACTTTTCTGCTGGATAATGTAGGAAATCATAGGGAGAAGTCACATGTTACTCACCCTTGAGAGTCAAAGGGTTTTATAAGCTTAATTGTGGAACTTTAAATTTTCCATGGTGGAATTTGCACAGGAAATTGTAGTGAAGGTTCAATGCAGAAAATATTCATGTCCTACTTAAATTTGAATCTCAATTTCCCTCTACTTTTAGTACAATGATATCAGATTTTGATAACTGGCACTACCTTAACAAAGTTAACATTCCAAATCACAACATGGTTTTTACATTTTACAGGATCCAGAAGCAAAAACAATATCAAAGTGGACAGCTAGAGGTAGAACACTATCAAGACTTCTTGGGTCTCTTGTCAATATGGCGATTCAGGTCTCAAACAGGATAGTCTTTTTGGATAGCAATGGGATACAACATTTACTACCTTTCCTTCAATCCCCTGTGACTGCATTTTATATCAAGAGTTTATTTTGCCTTGCGTACCTTGTTGAAGAAGAAGATAATGGAGTAGTAATGGCAGATGCTGGTAAGAATTACCAACATTTTTATGAGTAATTGCATCATGTTTGTAAATGTATGACTTTAAATTTGTGTGACATTTGTGTTACAGTTGGCCTTTGTGCCATTTGATTCCTTCGGATAGTCTTTCTCTCCCGCTGATTTTTAGTTGTTGCATCGTACACCCTTTCACTATTTACTGTTCATGTCCGGTGTTCATCCCAAGTTAATTTCTTAAGTTTGGTTTCAAGCCACCAGTGTATAGGGACTGATTTGTAAGTTGTATGCGCTTGT